AACCTAGGTAGGTTGTGTGATGTCAGAAAGTCCTCCATTTCCTTAAGGTTTTCAAGTTTGTTTCCATACAAGTGTGCGTAGTAGTCTCTAATGATCTTTGGTATTTCTTTGGGGTCAGATATGACTTCTTCTTTTGTGCTTCTGATTGTGCTTATTTGGGTTTTTTCTCTTTTTTTCTTGGTCAGTCTAGCTAGGGGACGATCAGTCTTGTTTATCCTTTCAAAGAACCAGCTTTTTGGTTCATTGATTTTTTTGTATTATCTTTTTGTCCTCTATGTCCTGGATTTGGGCTTTTATTTTGGTGATCTGAATTCTTCTGCTGAAATTAGGGTTTTTGTGGTCTTGCTTTTCCAGCTTCCTTAGGTGGCTTATTAGGCTTTTAATTTGTGATCCTTCCATTTTCTTCATGTGCGTTTGTAGGGATATAAATTCCCCTCTTACTACAGCTTTCATGGCGTCCCAGAGATTTTGGTAAGATGTTTCTTCATTTTCATTTGTTTCCAGGAATCTTTTGATCTCTGTTTTGATTTCATCATTGACCCAGGAGTTGTTTAGCATCATGCTGTTTAGTGTCCATGTCTTTGTGGGTTTTGGCAGGACCTTGTTGGTGTTAATGTTTATTTTTATTCCACTGTGGTCCATGAAGGTACATGGTAAAATTTCTGTCTTTTAAAATTTGCTTATGCTTGTTTTATGGCCAAGTATGTGGTCGATCTTAGAATATGCTCTATGCAGTGATGAATAGAATGTGTATTCTGTGGTCCCTGGGTGGAGTGTTCTGTAGGTATCAATTAAGTCTATTTGGTCAAGAGTCACATTGAGGTTCCGGACCTCATTGCTGATTTTTTGTCCTGATGATCTGTCCAGGGTTGTGAGTGGGGTATTAAAGTCCCCAGTTATGATGGTGTTAGAGTCAATATCTTTCTTTAGTTTTCCTAAAAGTTGCTTTATGAAAGTTGGCACACCTTTGTTGGGTGCATATATGTTTAGGATAGATATTTCTTTTTTATGGTGTGAACCTTTTATCAACATGTAGTGGCCCTCTGTATCTTTTTAAATTGTTGATAGCTTAAAGGGTATTTTGTCTGAAATTAGAATCACGACTCCTTTCTTTTGTGTTCCATTCACCTGAAAATTTGTTTCCCATCCTCTTACTTTGAGTCTGTGGGTGTCCTTTCTAATGAGATGGGTCTCTTGAAGGCAGTATATTGTTGTCTG